TTTCTGTATACCATTAGGGTTTCATTAATACTACAAAACGTTTTTTGTAAACGGTATAGAACTTTTTTTTTGGACAAATAATAATAACTATATTTATCAATGCGTTTCTGCATCTGGAAGAGTCTTATTTTTATAAACATAACGTAAATTTACTTTATAATTAATGCTATTACTGAAAGCAGCGTTTGTAGATAAATAATTTTTATAAAAATAATCTTTTTGCCGTAACCAAAGCTATTGTTGGACGAATAGGGATCTTTTTTTGATATATTTATTAAAACATTGTCTGAGGGTGGTGTTTTTAAATGCCCCATTTCGTATATTATTACAAATTGCAAGAGTAACAAAAGTTCCTGCTGCTTAACTCCGACATAAAACGCCGCAGGAGTCCGTATTACAAGTACAAGGTGTAATATGATTTACATTTTTATTTGCTTTGGGGAAAAGTCTGCGTTTTCCTTATATAAAAATTATGATGTTTTTATAGGTTGTAAATGAAATGCAATTTATCAAAAGTTGAACGAAAGAAGTTAAAGTAAAAGGGATTTTTTCGAGTGTGAAGTTCAATATCATTATATTTATGTCTTTTGCTTTAAGATACTTGAGAAGTTTCCATACAGAAAAAATTAATGGGTTTAAAATAATTATTGTATATATATATATACAACGACCAAAAAGTGAATTACTCAAATATTTAACAAATACATTTGTTAACTTGGATGTTTTATTTGAATTGTTTCCATGGATAATGACCATTTTTGGATGTATGACATATCCGCTTATTAAGCACACATGCATTGTTGTCAAGTTATCTTAATTTCCGTATACCTTAATACAGCGGCGGCTCGTGGGTGTATATATAGGAGGGTTAATTTGGTCTAAATACGAAAAAATGGCCAATAGCCCTACTATACACTGAAAAAAATATTCTTGTATCAAATAAATTTATTTGATTCACATAAGATATATTTGGGTTATCACTGCAAAGGCTATTTATTTATGAATAAATTAATGCATCCTTAATGCATATTAGTAAATATTTAAACAATAAACCTACCTACTTACACGTAAATGCGACGCTAAATTTAAAAAAGGGTTGTACATCAATAACAACTTACTTCAATTTTTTTTTATAATTTCCTTCGATGCTGACCACTCTTCTAATTATTTTTTTTTAAGGAAATACGCCCTTTCCCTCAAATTTCAGAGAAACGTGTCGGCATCTCCACTCCTACACGATTTCAAAAATATGTATTCTTGGCAAAAGATAATACTGTTTAGAAAATTCTTTTTTAAAGAAGTTAAATATTTTTTGTTGAAATATATATTCTTATTTTAAAGCAAGTTGACTTGATTTAAAAATTATTTTTAAGATTATAGATAGATTAAAAAATATGAACTAAAAAATAAACAAAGCAATCTTGACCCAAATTGCAAAACATAATTTCGCTTTTTTAAAATACATATCTGGAATTTACAAATATATTTATAGGGATGGTTAAAATATATATACATATAAAACAAACTGTTTTTGACGCACCTAATAAAATACATTGCCAACAGAATAGCTTTCGCATAGCTACTTACAGTATTTGAAAAGTTTGTTTCTTCTTAAAAAAGGCGTTTCAATTATTAAGAGAATAATATCATGAACAGGATTTATTTAAAAAAAATTTAACTAAAGAAAACTTACCGGTATTTTAAAAACCTAACCTTAAAATAAAAACTGCTAACTTTACCTATGTACTATGCTCCACACCTCAAAGTCCCACGTCATGACCACGTTCGGAACGCAGTCTTTTGAAAATTTGGCATTTAAGGCTTTTCAGGTTATGTATCTGTCAAAGTATAGTCAACGAAAGAAATAATATTATGTTTAGTAGTTAAAAATGTATAAATCTTTATAACATTACAATAACAATGGATGGTTTAAGAATTTAAGAATATAAATACTGCATTTAATGAAATTTATGGTGCCAAATAAGTAATATTTTTGTGCATTTGGTCCAAATATCTGGTTTTCTCCATAAAATAATTTTAACTAAACAGCATTTATTAAAAAAATCTAGCTTCTCTATTATGGAATAAGAATATTCGTTTTGAAGGTAGGTAGGTATATTATAACAAAAATATCATCTAATTTTGTAATTTTAAGGTTAGAAAAATTTATTTTAACCAAAATAAATAAGTATTGTGGATTATTTAAAAGATTGTATAATATGGTATTTAAAAATGTGGTAGTTTTTCTTATCCAGCTGAAAGTGTACATAAAGTTTTGTCGTAAGTAATATCATAAGGGCATTTAATTTTTCCGAAAAGAATCGAAAAAACACGTTGCTAAGTATTATTTTAACAAAAAGCATGAGTGCTGGTGGCAACAAAAATCCGAGTCGAAGAGGAGGATTTTTGCACCTGCACGAATGCATTTTGTTAAAAAATATTACTTAGCATTGTGTTTTTTCGATTTTTTTCACAGGAAAAATTAAATGCCCGAATGGTATTTGACAAGACTATTTCATGAGTAACAGTAAACAATTAAAATATAAATTGCAATTTTTGTTGACAACAGCTGTCAAGTTTTGCCGCGGGTAAACTCGAAAAAACTGCTGATAGGTGCTGTCATACAGTTTTTTCACCTAGAAACCATTTGTAATTCAAAATTGCGCGTTTGTGATTGGTCGAAATTAAGACGAGGGAAATAGTCAATACAAATAGTTAAAAAGCTTCAAATGAATTTGATCTACATCAAAAAATCATTATAACTTTAAAAATTTTAATAAACCACATGTCATGGGAGTATTAAATATTTTCACATTGCAAGTTTCTCTAAAAATTGTTTGTTTTCTTATAATCTAAGTTAAAGTAAGTATGCCGAGAGGTATGCACAAGTTTTGTCGTTAGAAGTATAAAAGCTTCAATTTAATTTGAACTATATTCAACAATTATTTAGTATACCTATATTTATTTATGACCATATTAACAAACTCTTTCAAATAATCCACCTATTTATTTTGGTCAAAATAGATTTTCCTAACCTTAAAATACAAAATTAGATGATATTTTTTGTTCTAATACATTAACCTACCTTTGATACAGATATTCTTATTTCATAATAGAGAAGTTAATAATATGAATAAATGCTGTTTAGTTAAAACTATTTTATGGAGAAATGTAGACCCAATGCACAAAAATATAACTTATATTGCATCTTACACTTTAGAATTTCATTAAATGCAGTATTTATATTCCTAAATTCTTAAACCAACCATTGTTATTGTGATACTATAAAGATTTATTAACTTTTAACGCTTTATCATAAGCGGTAACACTATAAATATTATTTCTTTTATTGACTATACTTTGACAGATACATAACCTAAAAAGCCTTAAATGCCAAATTTTCAAAAGACTGATGCGTACGTGGTCACGTGGTGGGACTTTGAGGTGTGGAGCATAGTACCCCCAAGCACCACAATCAGTGCTGCCAGATGAACGGATTTATCCGTTTTTTACGGATTTTCCAGGTCTAGAGAAATTGGAAACGGATTTTGAACGGATTTTCATCAAATACGGATTTTTAAGATAGCTTCAGACTAATACTAAAAAAACATCATTTTTGCCCCGTTTTTTGATCATCTTTGTCACGCTTCTATTCCTCTTCCTTTTTACTACGTTAGACAGAAAAAGAAAGCGGATTGAAAAAGGATGTGTTCTTAATATAGGGTTCTTAAACGCCGAATATATGCGAAACATATGCTTTTTCATTGAGTGTGATAAAGAGAACGATAGTTTCATATCATTTGTTAAGGTTTTATAACACGTTGTTATTGCTGCCAATATATAATTAAGCGGCGCAATGCCACCAATAGTAACGACTAACCAATACTGACTCCAGTTCAGTGCATTGAACTGCATTGTGGCAATATTTTGATCTCAAAGTCAATGTTTATTATATATATATATATATATATATATCCGAATCTGTATATAAAATACTTTATTTTGTGAAAAATGGAAAGTGACGAGAATTATATCACTGACGAAGAGGTTCAAACTTCTGAAACTCCCCCGAAAAATTCTGAGATGTTTCGGATTTTCTTTGACGAAAGGTATGTTTTGTCACGACTATTTCCCTCGTCTTAATTTCCACCAATCACAAACACGCAATTTTGTATTACAATTGGTTTCTAGGTGAAAAAACTGTGTGACAGCACCTGTCAGCAGTTTATTCGAGTTTACCCGCGGCAAAACTTGACAGCTGTTGTCACCAAAAATTGCAATTTATATTTTAATTGTTAACTGTTACTCATGAAATAGTCTTGTCAAATACCATTCGGGCATCTAATTTTTCCTGTGAAAAAAATCGAAAAAACACAAAGCTAAGTAATATTTTTAAACAAAATGCATTCGTGCAGGTGCAAAAATCCTCCTCTTCGACTCGGATTTTTGTTGCCACCAGCACTCATGCTTTTTATTAAAATATTACTTAGCAACGTGTTTTTTCGATTCTTTTCGGAAAAATTAAATGCCCTTATGATATTACTTACGAAAATCCCCCTTATAGAAGAAATTTTTCGAAATTTAGACAAAAACGGATTTTTACGGATTTTTCGAGCATTTAAATAGTTTACGCTCTTTGCTGGTAAGTAGGGGCTTCACAGGCTATAAAAGTTCCACCTCAGTTCAGACGAGCCGCCACTGCCTTGATATCTACCAAACAGGTATTGATAAACCTTATCGGTACAAGCCCGACGAATCGCTTAATTAATTCCAATTGCGAAAATATTCAAATCCGCCTTCAGCTTATCGCGCCATGAAGCTGCGGGAAGCGACATTCAAAACAAAAACCCATCGGCCACCATGATCCCGATTATCAAGAATTAGTCATGGCCGACTATTCGAAATCGACGAAATACGCGAAACTGGAACTGGTTCGCTACGAACGAGATGCCCACATGAAACGTTTGGAGTGTTTGTTGACGAAACTGAATTCTTTGCAGTGGCTGATGGTGGTCTCTTTGGCGGTGCTCTACAACGTGATCTTCGTGCTCGGACGCGCCGTCTTCTGGGAGTTGAACAACGCCGTCCCCGCCCTCTGGTGGACCCTGGATTACTCCTGCGACGTGATCTACATTATCGACACTCTGGTGCACGCCCATGAAGGTAAGTGACCATTAGAATTTAACCTTAACTTAACTTAACTTTTCGTTTCATTGGTGTCAATCAGTTCTTAATGTAATTTAGTACCATAGCTGGGAAAGTTACTTCTGAAAAGTATCTAGATACTTTTCTAAGATACTTTAAACAAAATAACTTAGTTACCTCAGGTAACTACCCTGATAGCAAAATTTGATTCGAAGAATCTTCTAAGAAGATATGACCCGGAATAATGGAATATTCTTAGAAGCCTCTTAAAACCTTCCTAAAAAGCATTCTAAGAACATTTAAAGAATACGTTTTTGGAATATTCTTAGAAGGTTTCTTATGGAGCTTCTAGGAAGCTTTTGAGAATATTTCCAAATATGTCAGATACCCACGTTCTACACTGTTCAAAATTTTAGCTAATTTTTACCTAAAATATTAGACTATATAGGACCATTGATTTTTTAAGGCAAACTGCCTAAAATGAATTCAGAGGAATATTCCCCTTTTAAATTAGTGAATTCTTTAACTGATATTTATAAAGAAAATAATACAATTAATTAAGCAAAATCACTTAGGTGTCAAAGATGATACACCTTAGATCGTAAGGGATATTGCCTGAGAATAAAAGAATAAATTTCCTGTTTTTAAGGCGATTTGCTTAAATTTTTAGGTATATTTTAGCTAAGTTTTTAGGCAAATCATATATATTTTTAGTGAAAATCCTCTTATTTTTAACGGTAAATTTATCTAATTTTTTTAGATAATAAGTATATCCTAAAAGATTCTATTAATTTTTTAGTGAAATTTCACTAATTATCTAGTGAAGTTTTACTAATTTTCTAGTAAAATTCTACTTATTTTCTAGTGAAATTCCACTATTTCATCAGACAAAAATATAAGGGGAACAAGAATTGGCGGTGGGGGCATTTAGGAGAGAAGATATTTCTAATGTCATTTTTATTCTCACGCATTGCTTTGGTAATATACTATTTTGGAAATATACTATTGTAAATGTTAAATATTATTGTAAAAAGTTACCGATAACCTAGTAGTGTTTATCCCTATATCGAGCAATGTGAATGAGAAAAGAATTACATTATAAATCCCCCTTTTAAGTGCTGATGGGTTAAATAAAAAATTAATTTATTTTAGTTAAATTGAAAATATTTATTAATAAATATGTATAAATTAAAAAAATTAAAGTAACAAAAACGAATTACGTTTATTTTAATAATACCCATGGGTATTAGCTGCAGCTAATTTATAATTTTAATAATACTTATAGGTATACCTACTTTATAAGTTTAATAAAGTTTCTTTTGGCATAGGAATTTTCTTCCAAGTTGGGACTCCTTTATCTTTATGTCCTAGGCACATTAACAACGGCGGTTCCGGTACTACAGGGTTAAAAATAAATTGGGGTCAATGGGAAATTTCATTTGGTTTGGATTACTTAACTATAGCACTACAAAATGTTCACTTATAGCACAATAATTGTTAACTATGTTGTTATATCAATAGCACACAACGCGGTCTTTACGTTTTCGTTGATTTTGGCATTATGGTGGACAATATAGGCGCGAATATTTATCGTAAAACGTCGGTATTAGCGATTGTAGCCGATTGCAAGTAAGTCACTAATATTTAAAGGAATTTACCTAAATTAGTTCAATAATTTGCCATAATAATTTAGAAGAATTACCTAAATTAAAAGCAAAATTGTCGTACCTAAAAGTAATTGAGATTTTGACTAAATATTTAGGTAATCTGCCTATCTTTTTAAATTTGACAAGTTTATTAAGTAAAGTATGTATATTCATCTAGAAGTTAGTGAATACACCATTGAACTAAGGCATTCGTTTCTGCCTAATAAACGAGAAGGTAAATTGCTTTACTATTTTAAGCATATTACCTTATTTTTCCTTAACTAATTCTGATTAGGTATTTCAAAAGGCTTGATTTTGAACAGTGTAATATGTTGGATTCTACATTCGTAAAATTCTTCAAGAGGCGACAAATACGCCTCACTGTCATAATATGACAGTGAAATGTATTTGTCGTCCCCTTAAAAAATTTTGCGACATATTAATATATATTTATTTAAAAATATTAAATAAACAATTTGTCCTCTAAACCACTTGTATGACATTATTTCATAAAAAGTAAAATTGTAAAATTTTGTGGGAAAAGTCAGATTAGATTAAAGTTAAAGATAGTTAGGATTATTATACATAAAAATGTTAATTCAGAAATAAAAAATCGTTATACAAATTAATAAATATTTATTTCTAACATAAAATAAAATATAAAAAACCAAAATTTTTCCTTATAAAATAATTCTTCATAAAAGAAAAAACCAAATAGTTCTTCATAAAAAAAAAATTTTTCATTGTATTTAAGTTGGATGGAAGATTTTATGTAAAAGCCGGATAATTTAGATACCTATAGTAAAATTATTTTTGTTATCGAATATTGTTTTAATTTAACAAATAACTATAAAAAAATATTTTGGATTGTGTTTTTTACTTAGTATTTAATACTAAGTATAGGTACCTTTATACGTAGATTGTGGTATATTTTACTATTATATAGGTACCTAACTGAACTGAATATGCTTAACAGAATTCCTAAATGAACTTTCTATAGCAATTACTTTCTCAACATTCTAAGCATATGTTTAGAGTGGATTAATTTTTACCACTAAACTTTGCACCTTCTAAGAACCTGCCTATAGGCCAGTGAGAATATTCTTAGGATTATGCTATATTTCTTTTAAGCATGTTCTTTAGAAGAAATATAGCATGATCCTAGGAATATTCTCACTGGAAGGTTTAAAAAACATTCTTAGAACATGACTAGAAGAAATATAGCATGATCCTAAGAATAGTCTCACTGGAAGGTTTTAAAAACATTCTTAGAACATGACTAGAAGAAATATAGCATGATCCTAAGAATATTCCCACTAGAAGGTTTAAAAAACATTCTTAGAATAAACTATGCTATCAGGGTAGATACTTTGAGTTTAAAGTATCTTTAGTTACAAAATACTTTAGAAAGTATCTAAGATACTATATGAAAGTATATACTTTTAAGTAACTAAGATACTTCTGAGTTACTAAGTTACTTTTAATGAATAAAAACTATAAAATTATGAAAATTCAACAAGTTTTAGGTTAGGTAATTACTTTGAATCATTCTGAAATCCCCCAATTTTCTCTAAGAAAGTATCTAAGTTACACTGAACAGTATCTAAGTTACTTTAAAAAGTATCTTAGTTACTTTCAAAAGTATCTTAGTTACTTGAATGTATCTTAGTTACTTTACCGAGTAACTAAGATATTTTTTTAGAAAAAAGTTACAAAATACTTTTTTAAAGTATGTAATTTATTGACACTTTCTGTACAATATAAAAAGTATTTAAGATAAAGTATCTTAGATGCTTTAAGTATTTAAGTTACTTTTAAGTATTTTTTTTCCAAGATACTCATAGCTCGGTTTAGTAGACCATTAAAATATTATAATATTATAAATACGAAAAAACTATCTGGGAGAAAATAGGTGTTGTTGGGTGTATTTCGAGAGGAAATCCTGGGTTGAGTTTTTACCGGTTTTCCAATAGACAGTGTTAATCCGAATGAAGAAATAAATTTCATACAGTCCCTGTAAATATAAATTGTATCTTTTAGATACAATAAATACACATTTTAGTGATGATTAACGTGAAAAGTGTAAACATTTCAATTCAGTAATAATCGTTAAACAAATAAGTCGTCTAAATGTAAACAGCATTTAGCATTATTAAAAGCGTTGATTAAGAATTCTCTCAACGGTAAAATACCGTTATATTATGTATTATATATAATATTATGTCGCCATGAATTCGTAGGTATATTGTGTTGTTTAAAATGCAGTTGTCGGCGTTTTTTAGAGAACTTAAATATAAAAATGGTTGATTTTAAGGTTATGTTTGTGCAAAATTTATTTTTTACTAATTTCTTAAAAATGTCCAAACTAAATATAAATTATATTGGGTAAAGTTATCATTAGTTAATTCTGCACCAACAAATGTACTTACCGAATTGGATCCTTTGGCAAAACATGAAAATGCAACAATTTAGTTCTTGAATTTTATTTACAATTAAAAACACAATAATTCACCATGATCCCTTAGATAAAATACATATACTAACGTAACTATAGTTAGTAACTATATATATATATAAGCATTTAGGCGTTGAGTTTCTTAATCAATGATATAAAGAATAATCAATCGAAATCGAGTACTAAACCAGTTTTTTAGTGTTTTCCTTGCAACGTAAAACACAAATAACGTGCGCGATTTAGCTGTGCAATTGAACAAAATTTGTCGAGTAAGACTTCTGCCTTCCTCTCTTTTGTGAAAAAACTACCTATTTATTTAAAAATGATGTACAGTTCGTATGCATTAAATGTCTTTTCAGGCAGTTCAAAACATAAAAAAACATCAAAGGAAAATAGTTTACTTCCTGTTTTACAACTTTTTCGCTTATGCAGAATTTTAATTTTTTTTTAATTACTTTTAAATTTTAGAGGCGTTGTAAACATAAAGATTAAAAAAATATATATTTTGCAAAAAACTTTAGCCCATGACTAATATATTATCTAAAAATGATTTAAATTAAATATTTGTATAGAGCGACATCAATAAAACAATAAAGTAACCAACATGGGAAACTCAAAATCCGAAATAGAAGCAGTTTTTCATAGTGAAAGTTAAGAAAATGTTTTATTGGCATTCAGCACAATGTTTATATAAACTTTTTAAATATTGTTGAGAAACTTTTTCATTCTTTTGTATTTGTGTATTAAAATGATACAATAATTTAATACTTTATTTTAGGGATTGTATGACATTTGACAACTGTCAACTAACTTAAAGCTAACTTCAGCCCGTGACTAAAGCGCCATAAAGCTTGCCAAATGTGTATTGTCAATGTGTATTTAAAAGATCACTTAGTGTCATGGAACATTTACGATAG